TTCACCTGTGGCTAATCCTGCCCTCCTCCTTTTCCTCCAGTGCCTCCTCAAGCCACCAGTGTTTTACCCAACATCTGCCATGCTGCCACACTCTTGTACTTGATTTATTCATTTGCCTTTATCTCAAGCTCTCACCTCACAGCCATCACCTCATCTCGAAAATTTTTTTGGATATCTTGGACCCTGGATCCCTCTCACCCCCCAACCTCTTTGAAATAAAACAACTTAACACTTCCTCTGCCTCTGATCTTGCTTTTGGGTTCAGTTAAACATCTCATTAGGACAGTGTAACACAAACAAGAGTTTAGCATCTTCAGACTTTATCAGGTGAGGTCATCTCTGTCAAACACATTGCCTAGATGACAGCTTCTGTTGCTCCAAAACCTGTACTATTTGGCATAACCCTGCCTTCTCAGATGAGTAAACCAGCCAAGGTGTAGGAATCTACATGCGTATCATCAAGGTGCTAGATTTTGAGCCAGCACTTAATTCAAATATAAACTAGGTTTTGTTTACTGTTGCTAATTTTTTTCCCTGAATGTCAGACATTGGGGAACTGTTTGCACCCAAATTGATTGACATGTTAACATGATGTAATAATTAAATTGATGAAATGCATTAGTTAGACTTAAAGTGAACTTTTAAAATACATGGAAATATTTCAGTCCAAGTGAAACTGTACTTAATTTAATTTCTCAAAGTCAGACAGCATTTAGATATCACCTTAAGCCCAGAAATACTATGCATCTCATTGGTACCATCAAGTGCAGAGTACTTACAATAGGAGAAGAGGGCTAAAGTTATCAATGTTTGGTTCTCATTAAGTTGTTTTTGTGATTATTTTGGTATGTGGAGTAAAAGGTCAACTGGAGGAAGGTCCAACAGTAACACATTTTGTGTACTTCAGGTTCTCCAAGGTCAAGAACAAATTATAGTTGTGATTAAACACCAAAATTAACAGGGTTATAGAGGGGTGGTGGTTAATTGCTACGAAGACAAAAATACAATGACAGCAACAATCTCTCTCAGGAAAGTTCAACACTTGGAACTATTAACCCTCTGTTTCATCCCCCTCTTTAATTATGTGATAGTACTCTCAATGCTGATACTTGGGGAGAGACATTGGCATGACTGCAAGAGCTGTAATCACTGCAACAATTAAAATATGCATCATTTATGGAGTAAAGGTACTTCGAGTTGACTCACTCTTATGCTGGAATAATACTGAGTGCACACTCCTTAATATTAAATTGATTTTCAAAAAGACAGTAAATGCTCTCCATTGGATTGGGTTCAAATGCAATCATCTATGGCATTTTCATATGGAGGACTAGGATAGAAAGATGAGAGTAGTAAAAAAATTCAAAGAGACAATGGTGTTATAAATTTCATACCAGGTACAAGCACTGCCATATGCTGTGATAGAGTAGAGTACTTATGATGCTGTGGGGCTATTACAAATACATGTAACACCAATTCAAAGCCATGTAGAGAAGATTGTGCATGTGGCAGTGAAGTACAGATATCTGACTACCAGCGTGTCTGCTTATGGTAATTGTCTGGCATGCCCCATATTGTGTATGATAATATGATCATAATTCACTTAAAGAAAATATAATTTGTGCTTGACTGAGTCTAATGAGTGCAGCCTGTGCAAGCATGCTTAATGGGTTCTGCATACATTGTTGGTTTTCAAAAACTCTTTGTCTATATGTTGTGTGCATGACTGTGCATGTACTGAAATCAAATTAACTATGTATGCCCCAAAAAGACAGCCAAGTGAAAGTGCTGAGACTGTGCAAATTCTTTTGACATGTTGGTAGTGTGTAGGAGCGTGTCTGTATCGTATGCAGGTTTGTGCTTCTAGTGTGAAGTGGCATTTTGAAGCCATGCAGTTAGAGCAAATAGCTGAAGAGAAGTCATTATTGATATGTAAAACCTATATTAATGTGTGTGGTTTTTTTTTTTTTTTTTTTGCTTGTTTTTTTTTTTTTTTATTCTGTAACTATCCCTTAAGCAATATCATCATTATTGCCTTTTTGTCCTTGGTACCACTGCATGCACATTTGGGCTGCTTAACATTGGAATCAAAAACTATTGCAATATTTTCCCTTCTGACATATTACAGTATGAATAAAAACAGGAATTTTAGATGTATTATTATTATTATCATTCATACCACAAAAGAGGCGGACACAATATTGCAAGGAATATAAGTAGTGTTTTGAGCCATTCATTGGAAATATTTGCCAGTGATTGTGTCTGTTTTGACATCTGAGGGACATACTTCTTCTGCCCAGCTATTTTCTCTCTTTTCTGTTTATTGAATCTTGTGTCTCATTTGTTCAATTTTTTAATTGTACTGTGGTCCAAGGCCTCTTGGGGGAATATCCTTAAATACATACAGAAAAAGAAAGCTGTCATCTTTTCCGCATACATTGGACACAGTAAGTATTATTTTAATTTTACAGTTTGTTCTATATTAATTCTGTCCCCTTTTATTTTATTTCATAAAACAATTAGCTCTTTCCTTCATCTCTTTTTCTGTATTATTTATTTTGTATTCTCATGAGCGTGTTGCATCATTTCCTTGTCTCTTGAGTCCCATTAATTGTAAGATGGCCTCAGATCCATGTATGATTTATCTGTGTTTTTCTTAAGCAGCTGCAGAGTCACGTCGACTCAAGGGCATTATATAGATTATCTTCATCTGGTAGAAACTCCAAGGTAATTTTCTCCCAGCTAACATAAATAGCTCTTCAATATTCAGTGTTTTATTAAATAGATACGACTAGTGGGCATTTGGAACCTGCGTCTCTTTAGCACAGAGGTGCATGAAGAAATTATCAATACTCACAAATGTGATTGGAATTGCTTCTTAATACTGTACAAACAATATCATGGAGACTCTTTGATTAAATCTACGATTGGAATAAGCTTCCTCATAAGCCAAAAGGGTAACATCTTACTGCCTGCTTGAACGTCTAAGCAATGAGTCTCATTATAAGCCACATTTCCAACTTTATTCCAGCTTCACGTCATCTAAATAAATCTTTGGATTCTGGAGCTTGCGGCACCATTCAACCCTAAATTTAGCAAATCCATTGGCAGACAGAGCATCTCTCAGCTCATCAGGTTATATCTAACTTAGTGTCCTATATGAAGAACCCAGTTGGCTCTCATTTCTTTGGCAAAATTGCAATCCACACTGACCAACCCCTTTCTCCTTTTCCTCCAGCTTCTGACAACAGCAGTCAAGTCTTCCCTTTGAAGAGTCAAACTGAGACTGAAGTCTGTCAAAAGAAGCTGTAACTGCTTCCCTCGTTATGGAGTATATCAAAGCAGACAACTCCAAGTGGCTCACCTGCAAGGACCTGGCACTTTTTCTCTGCCGCTTGTCTTCCTTTGGTCTCTGACTTTCCAATAGACCGCAGTGCAGATTTAATAACTTCCAGCAATTCGCTTTGATTTCCTCAATGCCTGTACTTCGCTTTTCAATGATTTTTGACTGAAATATCTAATTAAGATGTTGACATCAGATTTAGTATGATTGAGAGTATGATGAAGTAAGTACACTACATAAAACTTCAGCCTCTACTTCCACACATGCTCCATCTTTTCCTCTGGAGCTCAGCTTTGAGTCCTTTTGTCCTTTTTCTCTCTCTGCATTTCTCTCTCTGAGCTGCTCTCATACATTTCTCAATGCAGAAAACCTGTTCATATGCGGCTGGTGCCTTGCTAGTCATCTATTATGGGATGCAAAGAGCCCACAATCATCCTGCAGCACAGCAGATACTCAATCACAGACAGGCAGCCGAGTGAAGGATGGTTCCTGCTTTGTGCCCGAGTCTGTGCCCATCATGCTTCAGTTGAAGATAACATGATAGACTGGATGCTGGTTTCGATTCAGTGTGTCACTGTTCTACACAGGGATTATAGGCAGCAGGAATAAAGACGTGACTAAATCTACCAAAACACCATTTCTTTTAAATCTGGCCTTGAAGAAGTGAAATCTGTCTGTGGAGAAAACTACGCAAAACAAGAACATGGGTGAATTAGTTTCAAATAAGAGGTGATCTGTGTCACATGGAAGATAAGCTCCAAGATATGAGACCACAATATTTTGTTGCTGGGTACCTACAGCAGGAGTTTCTGCTTTAGTCAGCAAAACAAACCTGTACAGGGTGGACAGACTGAACTTCATTATTTACCATGTCTTGAGTGCTTCCAGGTTCAGGGTGATGTAGGGGAGCAAGGTAATGTGGGTGGATGAGAATCAGATGTCATTAAGTCATGGAAAAATGTACCCTGTGGCTCAGATCTGGAGTAAGGTCTTCTTCCAAAAACGCTGCAAAAACTAGAAATGAGTTGAGCCTTTAATTTAAAGAACTTTAAAGAACTAATTTTAAGAAGATATAGTCACTGGTAACAACCAATATAAAAGTGCTACACCAACCGTATTTATCTTTAACATTTAATTTAAACATGATTTGTTTAGTTTGACTAACTGTTAAACCAACAGTAGCTTAAAAAAGCATATTTTTTTAAAGGAAGAAACAGACTACTTATTTAAAAAGTCAAAAGTAATGTGCTCCAATAACAATCATAACATCCCAGAGTACTTTGAGTGTGAGGCACCACCTCCAATCTAAGCATACAGGTGCAGAACAACAGACTGATGTCAGCTAGATATGTTTCAAAAAGCTAGCAGAACACTGCATCACTTTATCTCTGTGATTTCAGATAAAGGCTTTCTGTCCTTTTAATCAGTTTCTTCAATAATGACTGAGTCACTAGTTATTTTCATTTCTTCTGTTACCATCTCATTCCATAAGTAGTCATTAAATTAGGGCTGGGTATTGATTCAGATTTTCCAAATCGATTCGATTCGATTTTACAAGGTCCAATTCGATTCGATTCACGATTCGATTCGATTCAATATCGATTCAGTCAGGGATATCTCAGTTAAAAATGGCCAAATGCATTGAACCTAACTAGTAACCTAGCATTCATCATGCGCATTTATTTAAACATGACCAAGTGACTGACAGAAAATAAATGAATATAAATTAAATTAAAATAAATTACATGACAATATAAATAAAGTAGCTACAAAGATGACACAAATAAACAGGACACTCACTTATCTGCAACTGTCTTACAGCTTTTGTGCAATAACACAGTGGTTGTGACACAACTGTATCAAAACAGAACCATCTGTTGACTCAAATAAATGGCAAATTAAAATAGTGCAAATAAGTCAGTTTTTTTAACATGGTCAGTATATTTTGAACATACTATGTAAACTGAAAAATGCCCTCAAAAAAGTGGTGACATTACATCTTGTTTTTCTGGCATTCTGAACTTCATGTCAGTTTTGGTTTGTTTTTCCATGAACACAAAATAAAAAAGTGCTTAAGTCTAAACAGCTCTGAATTACTTCTGAAAATAAGCGTTTTCCTGAAACATTAATGCAAAAGATCTTGTAAACTTCTGAACAATAATCACACTGTGTGACCTTTCATCCCTTTTCTTACTTGTTGGAGAGAGTAAGATTTTTCTGCATGAAAAGGAGCTGATCACACTCGCCACACTCTCCGCTGCCTGAAGCAAAGTTTCAATGCTCTGTTTCAAACATGCATACATGTTTGGAATTGTCACTTCACTTAATTGTTCACGAGTCGGCAAAACATAACGTGGCTCCAGCGTTTTCACAAGAGTTCGGAAACCATTGTTTTCAACGACACTGTAAGGTCGAATGTCTTTGCATATGAAAACTGCAATTGCCTCGGTTATCTTCCGTGCACGTTGAGAGTTTGCCGGTAACTTGAGGGCCAATACCTGTTCCAGGCTAGTTTGTTTGAGCCGTGCCGAGTCCAGCTGTGTTTACCGTTTCTGGGTGATGTCTTGTCAGATGGTTTCGGAGATTTGTCGTATTCCCACAGTATTTCACCGCTCCGTTGCATACTTTGCATATTGCTTGTTTTTTGTCATCCGCGTTGTTCTCTCCGTCCCTTTTAGAACAAAAATACGCCCAAACATCAGCCTTAAACCTCGCCGGCGTCGCCGCTGACGCTGTACTCCCTTCTGCCATGTTTCCTTCTCTTGCTAACAGCGGCTAATAACATCTCGCGAGATCGTGTTCCGTGGAAAGCCGCGCTAGACGCTGATCTCGCGATACTGCCAGGGTTGAAACAGGCTGTTCGCTGCAAGTTAGAAGATCGATCTATGGATTTATGAATCGATATCTGACTATAAATAGGTGAATCGATTCAAATCGATTTAATCGATTTTTATAACCCATCTCTACATTAAATCACATTAATTTAATCCTTTATGTACACACTAAGGAGAACTTCTTAGCTTCTTTGTATTTATAGACTTGAAACGATCTTAAAATGACAGAATTTTCAACATGCAATGAATATGCTGAATAACCACTAACAAATCTAGTCATTACACAAAACAAACAAGCTATGAAAGACCCTCTCGAAATTGTACACAAAAAGAAAAAACTTTTTTCGAGATATTTTTCCAATATCACTTGAAGCACAATTTCCAGATTCTCTCTCCTCTGTGACTCCAGCATTGCCCTTGGTGTTTCAAAAAGTGCAAATTGAGACAACCAGTAAGCTCTGATGTATTCTGTATATTTTCTCCCAAACAAAACATAAAAACAAAGCAGATTATTTTGCTTCCATGAGAACTACAATGACCTAGTGAGTGAAACAAAATGAATGATTCTTGTAGAGAGTATCCTAGTAAATAATAACAGGCAGAAATCACAGTCACACTATGCACAAAAAAACACCACCTCAAAGAAGGACAGGTAACATATCCTTTGTTTAACATTACACTTCCCTCTATCTGTATGTGATAACATTATCCCTGACCTTGACATGTAAAACTCCTGGAAACCATTTTATCTAAATGAATAAAACCACACATTTAACTAGTTTCTTCACTGTCTGTGGTAACTGACCTTGAAGTCAAGCTAGGATGGGAGTAAATGTAGTTATAGTGTTATCAAAACTGTTGTACAGAGAAGACTCATGAGCTCGAGAGGCCACTTGGTGGATCAGATTATTCCCTAAACATATTTACTCCTATGCTACACTGACAGCTATAGTGAAATATGCCTGAGGCTATTAAACCGGCATGTGTGTGTCCTTGCATATGAGCAAGTGCGTGACAGGCTGAGCCACAGGAGCACACAGGAGTCAGCAATCTTGCCATGTCCAACTCAATGCGGTCTGACAAACAAGGGAAGACTCACCTCACCAGAGCTGTAGGCCCTGGAATACCACCAGAAAATAAAAGCAGGTGGTAAAAGCCACTATAGCCACCATCAATACATGCAGCACTCTCAAGGCACACCACACGAGTTGGGTCACTGAAGTCGAGCATGCCAGTGACGTCCTCTGCAGAATCTATTTCCTCAAATCTAAGTAACAATAAGCCACCACATGAGCAAGGATGGATTCATTCATCACAACCACAGGCACTGCCATGCAGACATCCTGCACCTTTAATCTTCATTGCCTGAGCACCTTTGCAAGAGGCCCAAAGAAATGAAATAATACCTGCACAACAGGCTGACACACACACACACACACACACACACACATACACACACCAACATATGCACAGAAATGCACACATAGAAATGCTCCTCTGAAAATCAGGTTTTAGGATCAGGACTTTATGACAGGGCGTGTGTGTGTGTGTGTGTGTGTGTGTGAGTGTGTGCGTGCGTGCGTGCGTGCGTGCGTGCGTGCGTGCGTGCGTGCGTGCGTGTGTGTGTGTGTGCGCGCACTCCTGTTTTACACTCCATGTGAAGAACTTGGCTTTCAATTATCTACATGAATTTGGATTGGTACACATCACACCGGACCTTAAGTGCCAAATTGTTTTGATACAAATGTGTGTGTGTGTGTGTGTGTGTGTGTGTGTGTGTGTGTGTGTGTGTGTGTGTGTAAACTCCTCCAGAACATGCAAAAGGACATCTGGTAGCAGCCTTAGCCACAGAAATGACTTGATTTTTTTTCTCCTCTGTTCCCGTCTTGATGGCCACACAGCTGGCTTTTTGCTGTCCTTGTTAAACTAAGTTAGGTGATGGCTGCCATGTCTCACAGCATTTTTTATCTTTCCAACCGCAAGTGAAGAGCTTTACTGAGATAAGCTTGATGTCCCCAAAGATCAGAGAGCTGGCAGTTTAAATCCCAGCCCCTGCAGTTACATGCAGAAGTGTCCTTGGGCAAGATGATGAACCCCAAATGCCATCTGTGTATGAAAGTGGTGTGAATGAGTGCATGCAATGATTAATGTAAAAGCACTTTGAGTGGTATGAAAGACTAAAAAGAACTGCATAGAAACAAGTCCATTTAACATTTTGCCATGTACCAGAAAGACGCCAACAGAGATGAACATTCACAAAGAGTGGATGCCTGTTGCTGATTTTAAAGCTTTAAAATGGTATTCCAGGTATAAATCAGTGATATCCCATCTTAAACAGAGTGTATGGTAGAGCCTCTGCTATACTGCAGCAAAGATAAAAATCCCTGAGTGTCTCCCTCCTAGCTGGTCCTGCCAAAGGTGTTGATGAAGCACTCTGTGTGGCTGAAAGCACCACAGCTGAGGAGCAAACCTGGGTTCCTATTGTGGATGGGTATATTTCCACTGCGCCACCCTGTGTGAGTATTATTGAGACAAAGTTCTTGTTGCTACTCTCTTAACAGAAAATATTTCTCTTATCCATTTCCCTCTGCAGTTTTGCCAAAGAATTCTATATTAAACAGACTCTAACAAGGGCAGCCCGCTTTTGGCTCTCTACAAATTCCAGTCAGACCTTGCCACATGTATGACTCATACAGGCCTTTAAATTAAACCATTATCCACCCTAAATCATCATAACACATATTCCTGATTCAAATCTATTAAGTTGGAATTAAAACTGAACAAGGTGCAAGGCATGGAAATGGCAAACATTGTGGAGGGTAATGTGATTAGCATTTTAGTCCACTGAGAACAAGGCAAAGGAAAGACTGCCAAAAGATTCATTTAAAGCATGAAAGAAAGAGGGTTTGTTGAAAAAATAAGAAATAATAATAATAATTGGTTGCAGGAAAGGTATGACAATGGAACTTATTAGAGAGGTACAACCAATGTTAATAGCAATTAGGGCTAAAGAAGCAGCACAGAAACAGAAAGAACCGCAAGAGGATGTGGAGAAGAGGGTGTTAGTGGGGCCTCCCTCCATAATGATCTCTGAGATTCTCCTAATTGGGCAAATCTCTGAGCAGGCACCCTGCACCCTGCTCTGGAGAGCAGGTCAGACAGAGGGAGCAAAGGAGAGACGGAAGGAAGGGAAAAACATTTACAGACGCAGGGGGGTGCCATGAAAAGGTTGAGCTATGTGAGTCTAATGAATTGAAGGGTTGTACAAGGGCAGCATTGACCTCCAGCCAACTCCCTGCTCCCTACTTGCTGTAATTCCCCTTTCCACGCTCTCCAGCTTTCCCAACCCCGTTGTACATCTATGGCCGGCTAATTCAACTGAAACATTTTTTGAGAAATACATTTGGTTTCAGATGATGTCACCACTAAGGACTAGGGTAGTCCAGAGACCTTGATTGGAACAGTGTGACAAGGACTGAATGGGTGAGGGGTGTGAGAGAAGAGGAAGAGTGCTCTATGAGGGCCTCTCCAGAGGGCTAATTTATGGGCGTCCTGATCAATGGGTTAATTAAGTGGAGAGAGGAGAAAATGGAGAGGGCAGAGGCTGGCCTGAGTAGCCAGTGGCAAAGAAAAAGAAGGAAACATGGAAGGGCAAATGGATGGACGTTGGTTCGCAAGTTAACAAAAGGAGGGGTGGGGTGTGGAGCTAACGAACCGGTCAAATTCCCATGTGTACTTCACTCAATTGTCTTGGGCCACCAAATAATTCCATTAATGAAATTTCTCCATTTTAGAGATGATAATGAGCTATTGGCTCACCTGCTTCAATCAATGTTTCTCCACCTCTTCAGATTTGTCAAAGTCGTACAAAATAAGACGTCAAGTATGCAATCCATGGGGCAGTCTTTCAGAGACCTTTACAAAATCAATCCAGATATTTACTTGTCCAAAATCTTGAAAGGGAGAATACTGGTGTCAAGCTCACACAGACATCATCAAACAGTGCTCACACAGCCTGGATCCTTACAGCTGTAACGCTCTACAAGCAGATTCTACAAAGAGAGGGTGAGAGCTTTCTGTTCCAAATGTTTTTATGCTGTACAAAAGGAGGGAGAGAGGCGGTAAGAAAAAAAAGGAAAAACACTACTAGGAAATCCTGCTGACTCCAAGCCTTTTAAATCGCCGCCCCCTGTCTCCTATTCTTATTTCCAAGTCCCTGGTGTTTGAACCCAAATGGAAAGAGATTGTTTCATGTAAACACCAGGAGAACTCTGGGTGCTTTTTCACAGGTCTTCATCTTTGCAGAAACACCCCCAGCATCACAGTGTTTTACAGCAATGTAAAGCTACACACCAAACATGTATCCCTGCAAAGAATTCTACTACTTACAAGCTGTTGGGGCTGGCATGTGATCAAGGTTAAACTCCTGTACTCTGGCTAATTAAGGTGACACAGTCCAATCTTTCTTCTTGTATAATGAAAGTATCCCCCCACCACACACACACACATACAAATACACACATCACTAATACATTCCAGTTGTTTTTATGGGTGGAGCTCAGTTGGAGCCAAAAACAAACCTCTGGACATGTTAAGTTGAACTAGATAGATAATAAAGGTTTCTTGAAATATATATCTAAGGA